TGTGGAAGATGTGTGTACTTTTGCACTATCTTAAAAATGGATTTTGTGAAGAAGGCAATAGCATATGAAAATTAAAAGAGAACACACATAACATAGTTAAACAGCTCATCTTAACAGTTTTCATCTAATTAACTTGAGGGTCTGCTGTGTTCAGGACATTGCACTAGACGTCCTGCACACAGAACTTTAACTTATGGCCATTAATAAGGACATGGGTAGGAAATGGGTAATGCGGGGAAAGCCCTCAGGAGTCCAAACAAGACATAAGTCACCTTCAAGGTCCTATCACCATGATATGTCTGTTCTGGGCAATGTTATGTGTTCAGTGCTGGGACTTTGGTCACCCCTGTTAGGGGACGACTAATTAAAGTGGTGAGAAAACTCATTGCCTTTCAGGACCCTTCTGTAAGTTTTCTTGACAAATCTACAGTCTTTGTGGGGTAAAAAATCCTTTTGTTTTTGGTAGAAGACTCAGAGGACAGTTACCTAGTCCTGATCTTTAACTGGCTTGGCTTTTGTTGGTGCCATTTGTCACCTTTAACTCATTGGTCTTCTTTCTGCCATGGGCTGGAGTCCAGGAGTAGGGCTTTGTGGTAAAAAGTTGGAGCAGCTGATACTGGAAAATCCAGCCTTCTATGATCTTTCCTGGCTTTGATAGGTTCAGACACCATTAATTTTTTTCAAGAGGAGACATGGATTTATCGCAGAAGAAAACCTGAAAACTCTAAAGAATATTTTCTTCCAAAGAAAGTATTGTCAGTGTTTATATCTATACTTGTTTTCAAAATGTTGATGACTATGTCCATTGAAGAATACTATATTAACTTTTACCCTCTAAGTACATCAAAATGCTAAATTTGGTGAGGGAAATTTCCTGGCAGTTGTGTATTATTTTTTTTTTTTTGTCTACGTATGTGAACATTAAAAGCCTATTGAAGTTGACAAAATCGGTACTTTAATTAGAATAACTAATTGAACCACAAAGAATAGACAGAGCAATATTTTCTTCACTTATTTTTACATTTGTGTCAATTTCATTTTCACAATATTGACAAAATAGTATAGTAAAACAATCTTAGAAATTTTAGTAAATTGAAATTCTGAATGACAAAAAGCATATACGAAATGGAATTTCTACTACACCTCACAGAACAATGTTCCCAGACAGTTTAGTGCATGTTAATTCTTTGACAGTGTGACTAGAAGTTTCTGTAGTTTTCAGCTGGGAGCCCGGCACACAGAGACCTTTCCCACAGTCCCCATTGGGGTTTATGGCGTCACTTCTGAGCTCTCTCTTCCTGCTACCCCGTTTCTCTTTCACTTATTTGCAGACAAGGGGCAATTTCCACAAACTCAAAGCATTTTCCTTGTGCCTACCCTCTGTTTCTTGGTGTTTAGGAAATTTCTGGAATTCTTTCCGTATCTGTCAGTGTAACTCCATCTGAGAACACAGTTTTTTGAAGCACAGACACAGAGTTGTTGAGGACCTTGAGCTGCTGATGCCGAGAGTGACTTCTCGCTTTGTCTCGTGTCCAGTGGCTTTGAGGTCAAGTGATGCGCTGGACGTGACCCTGGTGTGCCGTGGATCAGCAGGGTGGGGCCGAGAGACTGACGCTGCGTTTCTGTTGTGTTCTTGCTGCTGGGATGGGGGTCTCAGGAGTCCCGTGTTCCTGGAGCTAGTCCCAGGAGAAAGCATCACTGTGCTCTCTGAGGAGACTGTGACTGCAAAATACACGTGCTGTTACCTTCAGCTTAATTCAAGGGCTTTCTTCTTTAATTTTTAGATTTATTCAGACTACTTTCAATGACCTAAAAATACACAACGTAAAAAGACCCTTTCTCATATTTTCAGTTAAAAAGGAATCTCAGGACTCTTTACACATGTTCTCTCAATATGCACATTGAAAAGATATTTTTCTTGGTGTCCCCACCAAGATGATTTTTCATAAAAATGAAACTGTATTGTTGTGCAGCTTGCTGACTTTGCCCCTTATCATGGGCATCTTCTGACATCCTTGGTCTTTTTCATGGCTGCATGATATGTTACCATGGTGCTGTGTGCTGGTGTGTTTAGCCCTTCCCTGGCGGAGGGACAGTGAGGTCTTGGGATTCGTCTGCTCACACATCATCCTACATGAACCCCACGGAGTGGATGCTTTTGTCCTGGGTCATGTGGGCTTAGTTTCTCTGCCCTACGGCAGGCAGCAAGCATAGGTGTTTTCCCTGGTTTTTTGTTGATTCAGGGATCATTCCGAAGATTGGCATTTGGTCTTGGATAGCCTGAGCTCAGATGAAAAGCACTAGTTTGGTTGTGTGGGGTTTTAGGGTAATGGCATTTTTTTATAAGTTTCTCATTTCTACCTGCTGGAAATTTGATGCACCATCTAGCATGATGGATTTTGGCGCTCAGCCTTAGATACTTTTATGTGGCAGAATTCTTGGTTCCATGGCTATGAGAAAGGTCTGATTTTTAAACCTGGTGTGTTTTCCTCCCTATTGGTTATTCTTAAAGTGAACATCTTTGAGAGAGTATTTTGAAAATATATTTTTTTTGTGTGTGTGATTATGGCAATTTGTCTCTTTATGATTTTCTATCCAGGTGCATTGAAGTTTCACTTGTGACTTTGACCAATGGCATAATTAACCCTAGTCATAGAAAGATAAATATGAACATCCCGGGTTAGCGTTCCCCTGGGGTGGGCTGGCATTCATTAAGGTACTCAGCAGATTTTGTTTTCTTCAGTCACTATTTGCCCTAACCCTAACCCCAGCTTATCTTTGTCACAGCTTTTGGCCGTGTCTTGGAGATTAACATCTGCTGCCTGAAATTGCTTCATACTTTTAAAATTCTAAACTATAATTACCTTGAATGGATGAAATATTTCATCTTAATGTCTATTTTTGTTTGGGAGATTTTATATTCCTGAAACGTTAACAGATTTTAAGAAAGGTAATATCAATTTATTAGAAATTTAGAGACAGAATTACCACTTCTCTTTGGTAATATGGTAATTGGTCAACATTTCTCAAGCAATGACTTGCTGTTGATTTTAATAGTTTTTACCTGCCAACACAGCTGGAATCCTATCATGTCACAGCTGTGCTTTTCAATTTAATGTTATGCTGAGTATACGGTGCACAGTGTGGAGGAGGGCACGAAACACTGTTAGATGCGTCCTGACCGCCTCTGATGCTTGGACGTGAGAATGCGGCGTGTCACCAGCCAGCTTCCCGTGTGGGCTGAGAGGACTTTGTGTTTTACTCTTGTAGTGATTCCTACTGCTGGGTTTCTAGGAGCTTGAGCTTTTCCTTTGCTGTACAGTTTTCATGTGCTGTTTTGTGTTTTCCTTTTCCACAAAACGATTATTTCCTAAGACCATTGTTATTTATATGCAAAAATGCCCCCAAATGAACACAAACAGTTTGGCTCTTAAAGTAATATGAAGAAAAATATTGATATTGCGATATTAAATGTAAAATATTAACTCAGTCTATAACACAAAGATATCTTATAATAATGAGTGTGTATTTAAAATTACATAGATGGAATCACAGATCTCATTTTTCTTTTCTACAGGGATTATAAACTATACTACAAAAAATTGTTTCAAGTACAAAAATAAGTTGACTGGTCTCTTAAAAGGGAATTGTAATTTACTTGGTGTAGAATTGAATTACTGATTTGTATACCGCTTGTTGAATTGAAATATTTTTATGACTGAATTAAAGCGGCCATCATGTGCTTGAAATACATTTCCTGTCCAACACCAGGCTTTGCTTCTCTCTTTCAGTCTGTGATCAAAACAGGACGTCTGCTCATCAGTCACGAGGCTCCTTTGACGGGAGGCTTTGCCTCGGAGATCAGCTCCACAGTTCAGGTAGAGTGACCGCGAGCGCCGGCTCTAACGCTGTGCTATCGCTCCTGCCTCCCCCGGAAGAACATAAATTACTCCTCACGGTGTATGCAAGCACGCGCTTTCTGGAAATGTACAATTCCATTCTGATTCAGCCGCTCTGTTCTTTAGTTAATGGTGTAATTACATCTTCTAAAAAAGAGATCTTAAAATAATGAAAGCTGAAAAATCCTTTAGGGGAAGAAAAAAGTTTGAACCGAGTTTAATAAGCTAACATGGGTTATATCTGCTAGGTTAACAGGAAAAGAAAAATCTTTTTAAGTTTGAATCTGACAGCACTCTTACTATAATTTATGGTGGTTATGGAATTGGTTGATTATGAAATTCATCTTAGATTTTCACAGCCTATCCCTTCTAAAAATGCCTCTCTCAAAATTCACTAATTAAAATTCAATAAATGATTAAAAATAATTTATTAGTTTAATAATAAAGTTAGGTTATGCTATAGAAGTGCTTTAGAAGTGTTTTAAAAACTGATTTTTAAAATGTTCATTTAAGCTGCTGCATATCAGGAAAAAATATTATACACTTGTTTCTGGAAGAAATTTACTTAAACCTTTTATTCACTTTTATATGATAGCTATGCATAAGATATTTAAAGCCTTTTTTCCCTCTGATTTTTAAATTGAAGTTATTTTAAATGTAAGGTATGTGCGTTTTTAAGTTAGAGTATCTTTGCAGTTTGCAAACATTACTGGTGTTGAAATGCTTTAGTTGTTAAGACATATATGCGTAGAGAATTTGCTTACTAACTTGACTTAAAGTTATGATATGTAAGTAGTGATAAGTTTATGTTTTTAAACTTTTAGTGAGTAAAGAGTTACTTTTACCAGTAAAATATCTTTAAATGCTAGCTGACAAAATTATAAATATTTTAAAAATATGTAAAGCAGATTTAAACAAAAGTTTTAAAAACTAGATCAAAATAATCCACATTTACATTCAAAAACAAATTTATTTTTTATGTTATATAGTCAGTGACAAAATCAAGAAAAGCAAATATTTGAGTTTAGTAGATTTGTTGGTTTCCTAGTTATTGTATAAATTAAACTTTGAAACACACTATCATATAACATAAGCACCCACTGTTTGTTGTGCTTTTATTCATGGAGTAGCATGATATGCTACATTGTGAAAAAAATGGGGGTGCAAGAATAAATCACTGTAATACCAAGAGCTTGCTTCAAGCCAGAGGCAAAATGGGAACAAGAAACTGTATTTCGACTCCTACTGTACGTGTACTCTACCAAACCATTTGAAATGATAGTGTGAGGATTTGCTGAAAGCAACTTTGACAGGCCTGTTAGATGTTGCCCACCTACTGCTGTGATAATCACCTCAAATCTTCATTTGTGCATAATTGTAAAAGGAGAACAAGCAGAACTTAGATAACACAACTCCTCTTGCAAAGTTTTCTTCCTCTGAGTGTGCTTTCAAAATTTGATCTCTGTAAATCATTGGGAGACTATAATAGAATCTAATATTTTTCAGACTGGAAAGGAATTAGCAAGATGATCTAATCTAGCGTCTCCTGGTCTTGAATAATACTTGGATTTATGTTAATGGAAAAATGTCTTTCAGGCCCCAAGAATATATTAGTGAATCACAGTTTGAGAAACACTATTAGGAATTAAACATACATACTATAACTAGCTAGCACCAAAAATCATTAACATATTAGATGCTGAACTTATGTGGTAGTTGTTAGTAGTAAAAATTGTCAGTGAGACTATCAGAATATAATTGTATCTGTATCATAATATGAAGGTACCAAAACAAAGCAGAATAGCTGATGATACTCAGGACTGTGTTCATAGATGATCAGGTGTCTGCAGTCTGTACCTTGAGAAATGTTGATCTAAACCAACTGTATTCCTTTTACAGATGAATATTTGTCATCCAGAGTACTTGTGCCTCATGAGGTTTTTAAAGACTGTAGGATATCTGGGACTAGGGCAGGGGTCTCAGATAAATGCTAAGTGTGTACATATGTATTCTCCCCCACCCCAAGAGAAAAATGGAAGTTTTGGAGTCACTATAAAATGTTCTCTGTTTTCCATGGTAAATTTACTCAGTCAGCTAACCACAAAAATGACTTAAGGCAATACTGTAATTTTAATTTTGTAGGGAGGGTCTGTGTTTTACATTTTGGGTAATTTGAATTCAGATTTATTAATATGAGGATGAATTTGAAAGTGTACACCATTGCTTTTGCCTAATTTAGATTTTATTTACACAAATATGAAGTGTAGAAATTCAATTTTAACAAATTTAATGAGCATGGTATGCTCAGTGTTTGGTGTCTGTGGCTTTATCTGTTGATAAGGGAGGTTAAAAAAAGAAAGCTAGAAAGAAAGCTAGACACTGGGAAATTTCCTTTTCTTTTCCAGCAGTCATGTTTGCATATAATTTAGAGTAATCTAAATAGTAGAATGTAGTGCTCAGAAATTACTTTATGCACATATCCCCCTATCTACAGTGTTCTACAGGGAGCATCTCTGTGATGGCCTCGTGCCCTGTTATAAGGGGAACCTGCATCCTGTCACCGGTGCCTGGGGTGGTTTAAACTGAAGTTACCTAGGAGTGAGGTGCAGTTCCTCTTACTACTTGGAATGATTCATATTTCTGTATTTTTTTTTGTTGTTGTTTGTTTGTACTTTGTAAGGTTAAAACAGATAAAACGGGGTTAAGGTATTGAAAGCCAGCTTTCTAGGACGGCAGGCAAAATCTTACATGGATGACTTTTTCTTGTCGTCTTGGAAAAGAAGTTTGAAATTATGGATGAGAATGGTCTACAAATTTGAGTACTGTTGATTAAAGTAGTGGGTTATTGTTGTTTCTACCAATGCAAATTTTATGTGACTGTGAGAACAAAAATTGCTCCACAGGCAATATTTTGTGGAGGATAGGTAGCAATTTTTAAAAGCTCAAGGTTAATCCTACAAAATTGTTCTTAAAAGAATATTTTAAGAGAACAATTATTAACAATAAAATTGCTGTTTTTAAAACCTGAGAACACCTAAAGATCTGAAATCCTCTGGTTTACTTAAATTTTAAATACTTACCTATAATAAAAATTAAAAAGTATTGAAGAGAACACAGCACTGTGGAGAATATTCTTTCAAGCTTACAATTGGTGTTTTTAGATAGGAAAATTGTATCTTGCTGCGTAAAATTAAGCATCCGATAAAGGAACATTTATTATAAGATAGATTATTGATGTTACTATTAAAAGATTATTTTTAATATGCTGATAAAATATGAAAGGAATGAATGCAGATTGTCATAATTTATTGACATATCTCTTTAATTTATGACATACGGCTCTTCCATCATACAGGGAATTTGCTGTACGGAATTGAAGCTTGCTCATGCCTGCAGCTTCTTCTTCGTAAAGCCATTTATTATTTAAAAAAAAATTTATTGCTAACACCCTTAGTTTGAAATAATGTTAAACTCACAAAAGTGAGTAGACTACTTCATATTGATTAGACATACTTTTTTTTAACTTGTATGTATTAAAAGGGTTTTTATAAAATTTTTACATAGATGAATGCTTGCCAAAAAAAAAAAAAACCCACCAAAATAGTGCCTCTAATTTATGAAGTGCTTTACATTCCTGTTGGGTTTAATTTGGAGGTCAACTGGGAGGCAGGGCAAGTTGAGGCTCGGTGGACTTGGCCCTGCTCTGGGGAAGACCTCTCTGTGGGACGTCCGAAGCTCCACTGTCTCTCCCTATCTAGTTTACATTCCCATCTGTTCTCACTTTGCAGAAAGGGAACTTTTTCCTGCTTTTATTTGACACATACTGCAGCTTAAGGTCCTGGTTTTAGGGAGTCATGCTTCTACACCCCGATTTGTGGAAAAGTGCAAAGACTATAGAGTGCACATAATTCATTCACTTTTTATTGTATAATTTGTAGCACAGATTTATTTATTGTGTAGTTTGAGCAAAGATTTAACTGTTTCAGAAAATTATGTGAATTAATTTTATGTGGTGTTTGTATTCAGTTTATGTAGCTATGGCTTTTCAAAACAAAGTCTTTAGTGTACAAAAATTTGTTAACCACATCCATTTTCATATTCCTTCACATGAGTTTGTATTTTATGTTCTAGAATGCAGTGTTAAACATAGGCATTATTTATTTCAGTAGTAAAACCAAATAATTTGTGATATTTTAGCATTGTTTTTTAGAAACCAACCTTTATTATTAATTTGTAACACATTCTTGTAATGATGAAATAAATTCTGAATCTGATAGAATTATGTGATAATAACACCCCCTCCCCAACCCAGTCTGGATATAGTGCTTAATAAGAGTGCCAAAAAATTTAGGGATGTGGTTGGCTTAAAGGTTTGAGTATTTTTTTTTTTTAAACACATGGAAGCAATAACTGCGAAGGAGTCCAGTTGGAGAGGGTGGTAAGTTTCCGTACCATTGTTACATCCTTTCTGTGCGGTCTCTTTTTCTAAGAATTGGAACTCAGAAATTGTGTGCACTGACATATATTTATAAGATTATCAGATTCTAATAGTTTGAAAGGATTTTTATAGACCCTACATGAATCATTTTGTAAAAGAAAAGTTTTATAATTTTCACGTACTTGTAAAAGAATTTTGCTTTTCTCGGGGTTTCATGTTAGAAGGTTTATGCCAAAGGGACTTTTTTTTCTTATAAACTTCTTATTAATGCTAAATATATAAGCACACCATTTAAAGACTTCAGTTTGAAGAATTGGGGATACAGTCTTGACTTTTTACCATTGTGGAAAATATTTAATTAAAATTGCCATGCCGATAAATTGAGTCATCAGAGAAAATCGTCAGAGTAGTGATTTGATGAATATTTTACTGCAATTTTGTACTGTCAATTTAAAAAACATCATCAGCGATGCAAAACATTTTCCAATGACAGCAATAGACAGAACACTGAGAAGTATACTTTATACTAAGAGAGGGAGCC